ATGTCGAAAGTTACATAGGAGGCATTGACTAACCTAAATAAAGAGATCGTCGAATTGGATGGCAGAACAGGCGAAACGTTACAAACTTCCAGGTACTCTTTCACTCTTTCCATGGAAAGTGACAAGAGGAAATACAATCTTTAGATCCGTAAATTCTAACTCTCACTACTAAGATGCGCCAAGCCACGCAGAAAGTAGCGAATCACCATCAGTCTCCTTGTATTCCGTTGTTGAAACGAATTTCCACTCGACCAGCTTCCTCACACGAACCGCTACTTCGAGGAACCGGGTCGAACGCGTGTACCATTGTTGATTTGTCCACGCGCCCTCTTCTCTCTCTCTCTCTCTCTCTCTCTCTCTCTCTCTCTTTGTGCCATATCTCCTCAGAATCTAAATTATTATGCACCCCCATTTCCTGTATCATGCAAATCTAAAAAAAAAATATTATATTTTTGATTTTTCTAAATAAATTTCTGCGATCCATTTTCAAAAGTTCGTCACGTGTTGTTTTCCTCTGTCCCTCTTTGCCTCAATCCGTCCTGTGTGTAACATATTTTCCAAGCTCTCCTTCCTCATGTACCCTCGTAATTTCATCTGTCTATTCCTGATGTTAAGTATAAGTTTTCTATTTGCTGTGATTTAATCTATAAATCCTCGTCGTTGCTGACATGTTATGGTATCTGCAGGATCTTTCTGTAGAAACACATATGTCGCGTTATGTCTCTTCTTAATCTCTGAGGAAATTGTCCTGAATTTACTACAATATAGTATGATAGGTATCACGTAATAATTCAGTACTCTTTTCTTTATAACGAACTGTGTACTCTGCTTATCTTTTGGTATACACCATTGCCCATCTTTGGATCTCACTTTCATACTTCACATCCTCTGTTCGAAAAATTATCTAATATTTAATGTTTTGTGGTTGGTTTATTTTGGTATCGCTCGTTTGTAATTTATATTTTGGGCTGATAATATTCATTCTGTCTGTGTGGAAGTATTCTTTCTGTTACCATTTTCTTAAATATTCCCTTGTTGCTTACTCGGTCTATCCATTGAATTTTCACTATTCTTTTGTGAAACCACACTTCTGCTGCTTCTAGTTCTTTTTCCTCATCCGCGGGGAGATTTTTTATAGTCCTTTTTTACGATTTCCTGCAGCGCCTTCTGGGGGAGATTCTATAGTTTTCTTATTGTGTCTGTTATCAACACTGAGTTTCCTACTTATCTTGTTAAGATTGAAACCTCCAATACTGAATCCTGGTACGACATCTAATTCCCTCTTAAAAATCGTTACACCTCTCTAATTAATAGCATGTTTACGAATCAGTAATTAAGATACTATTCATATTTAGTTATTTATAGCCGATTGTATAGTTGGTTTTTCAGGGGGCACTGATGCGTTTCTATGTGACGCCCCCTTTCAGAACGTAGGCGACCATGACTCTCCATAAATAACTATCTCTTCTCTTTGTTGTTTTTTTTTTTGTTTATTCAAAACCCACGTACTGCTATATCTTCAATCAAGCATATCAGTCAAGTTGCTTGGTCTCTTTGACTATCTCTCTTGACCTGAATATACACTGTTGTGGATTCCGGGTTGAAATCCGGCACCAATAAATAATAAACGCCAGGAATGAATCTATGAAGAAAATAATGTATTGACGTAATAATACAAACTGGTAAAGCAGGTTAGTAGTTCCAGGAATACGGGTTAGTAGCAAATACATATATATATAGTCTTTGGTATTGAAGTATCGCTGTATGACTTCTTACTGAGTCTACGTGCTCCCTCATTGTCACTCCTACAACGCTGTTACCTCACCCCTCACTCTTCCGGTTACCTACAACCTTTTACTCTGTCACTCTGGACTCAACTCGACTCTGTTCTCTCGGGTCTTCACGTAGCCGTCGTATATGTATATACTGGGTGATTTCATTTGTGTAAAAAGGGGAGAACCCCTCAACAGATAGATAGAGAGTTAAGTGTACCAGGAATTTTTCTAATTCTGTGTGGAAGTATTCTTTCTGTTACCATTTTCTTAAATATTCCCTTGTTGCTTACTCGGTCTATCCATTGGATTTTCACTATTCTTTTGTGAAACCACACTTCTGCTGCCTCTAGTTCTTTTTCCTCATCCGCGGGGAGATTGTCTAACATTCCCATCTATACAATCGGATGGATATCACATAGCAGTACAGTATTTGTTTTATTTGTTTCTAAGGATATTTTCCGTTTTCCATCATCTTCCTTAGCTTTTGTAATGTTTTATCGTTAGTCCAATGCGTTTTCGATTTGGATTTTTACAAATTCGCTAATCCCAGTTTCCCATTGTCGTTGAGGAAAGGCATTTGCTGTGTTGTAAAGCCAGGTGTCTTTAGCTTGCATCTAAGTAAGACATATGCTTTGTGTCAATTAAAATTAAGTTCAATCGATTTTTTATACTTGCTCTGAGAGCGGACATTTTTTTATCAATTTCACCACTGTCAGCGCGACCGAAAGTAACCAAGTTTAATACTTTTAAGTGTTCTGTGTTTAAATCTGCTCTGATATAACTGTTGAAAATCATTTTAAATTCTAAAGGCGCATTTTATCTTGAACGATTGTTCAAAAACCGTAGAAAGGACAATTTAAGCCAGATTTAAGAGCAAAATACCGCATTGCATATTAAACAGCAGTAATTTGATGAATGTAAAATCAATAAAAATTAAAATAATTTACAAAATATGTAAAATCGCACGTGAAACAGAAATCAAATATTATTTTCTTTTTATGTATCGTGGCTTTAACTCCGGACTGATCCACGGCGTTTTGACATGAATAAAATCGATCAGTCAAACTGGGATCAAATATTATGAAAGTACAAAAACGTATTTTTATAGTAAAAAGTTACCAGCAACACATTTTTATAAAATGGTTAAATATGCCAGCAATACATTTAAAAAAAGATTAACAGCAATATATTTTTCTAAAGAAAATTACTAATGTCACCAAAAAAAAAAAAATAAAATAAAATTTCGGCATTAAACAACAGGTAAGGATTTAAAATGCAGCCAAACAAATCAAACATATTTAATATGAAACGTGTTAAAGAAACCGTATATTTATTACTGATATTACAAATGAAAAAGCTGAGTAATATCAGTCGGCCGATTTCTACACAGCTGAAGAGGAGGCTAGTGGCAAAAGAGATGTAGTTCAGTCTAAATTAACCTGAATTTGTTCCTATTAAATAATTTATGACAGTTAACAATTTTTAAAAAGATATCAAAAGACTGTAATTGATCTCATCGTCCACCGCTAGGAAAGTTGGTTCCCTGTGCCGTGCCAGGAAATTTTTCTCGCCGGAGTCGATCCTTCAAATCTACAAATAAAGCATTCGCCCTTGCATGGAGTCTTGCTGCCATATATGGAATGGAGCCCCTTCTAAATGCCTCAAGGTTCTTCAGAAAATCCAAAGACGGATATGCAATGTAATTGGCCCGGATCTAGCATCTTGTCTGCAGCCGCTTTCTCACAGACGTGCTCTTGCCTAACTCTTTTTTTTACAAATACTTTCACGGTAACTGTTCCGAGGAGCTGCTTTCGCTGGTGCGCAGACTTCCTGAATTTAAGCGTTCAACTAGGCTGGCATCTAGCTCTCACCCTTTCATTGTCGAGACTGTTAAATGTAGCCGTCTCTTCTACTCCAGTAGCTTCATGTCTCGCACTTCTCGCCTGTGGAACACCCACCCCATTTATTGTTTTCCTGATAACTATAATCTCCGACTATTCAAATGTAACATCAATCGACGTCTTCAGATGCACTGATCTATCCCCTAACCGTCTCTTCATCCTTTCTTCTATCACCCCTCTTTGTTATCGCTCCAACTCTGTAAACCCTTGCGTGCTAGTGGCTTTCCGCCTTGCTTGGGATTGAATGCTTACAAGAAAAAAAGTTAGCTTAAAAGGCTTATATTTATTAAGGTAATTAAAAAGGTAAAGACAACTGCCATGCAACAACTATATTTCTATTCATAGAGATCAAGTATGCCACTTTTCGACATAGTCGCCATGCACGGCGATGCATTTGTGGTATCGTTCAACGAGCTACTTCGACACTCCTGATAAGACGTTCGGTTGCTTGCGAAGCCACGTTTACACAGCTGGCTTGTTTGTGCTTGTAATCCGTAGAAACTTTACAGTACTGCAAGTCATCGTGCGCTATGATTTGTGAACACCCATAGCTGATGTCCCCGATTGCCTTCCCGTCTGCTGACCTTATACTGCTGTCTTCTCCCTTACCAAGTCGTCCACTCTCGGATCGTGTTCTTCTATGGGCGATGACTGACCAGATGGTCTTTCGTCCCTTACGCATGTTCTTCACGCTTCAAAGCGTTCTTCCCGCTCAAACGCATTTCGATGATTCATGGAGCGTACCTCATACTGCGCAAACATCCAGCGATGTATTTCCGCCATCATGATTACATCTGCCTACAGAAACCGAACAACGGCTTTCTGTTCCTGGATCGTGCAAACGCTGAAAACGTCTGGCTTCTTTACTCCCTGCTATGCGACTGAACGATGGAAATCTATACGGTGCTCGGTTAATCAACGTTCCCACCTTATTGTTTACTGCCTAATATCAAAATTGTCTTTAATTACTGATTTAAACACATGTATAAATTAGAGTTTTTCTTTCGTTTTCTTATTTAATCACGGATTCTTTATTCCATCGGATATTTTTCTTGGGTTCATCTATTGATTCCATCAGTTTCTAGATGATGTTAAAGTAACAGTCCATAATATCTTTATTTTCTAAATAGAATATGACATATTTGAATAATTATTATGAATTTAATTCGACTAAAACGTTACGCATCTTTCTAATGAGTAATTATTTTCCACCCTACAAACCTTTTTCAACAGACGAAATATTGCTACCATCCCGTTACTAGAGCGTTATTAACATGGCAAATGTTCCAATAAGAGACATTTCTCATTCCAACACGGCTTACCATCATATCACATTGATACACCGGTTACCGTACGATCACAGAAGTTAAGCAACCTCGAGTCTGGTCAGTACCGAGATGTGTGACAGCTTCGGAATACATGGTGCTCTAAACTTGAATCTGTTGACCACGTTTGCCGTAGTCTCTGAATTTGGAATCCAGTGAAGTCCGTAATGTGTTCAATATCAGAGTTTGGCAGTGTTGATTCAGAGAAAGTAGCGGCTGTTAAGTAATTCTTTAAGTCTTCGATATCATGTTGGCAGTGAGGATAATTTGGGAGAAAAAACAAAATGGCTGCCTTTATACACGTCGGATTGAATATTTTGAGCTTTCTGATTGGTTAACCCTTCTATTCATGGACTATACAATGAGTCAGCTCATTTTAACTGGCTCATTAGTAAAATCAGACCCAAAAGACTGCAACAGAATCTGTGTTTGATGTAAAGGATAATGACTCGGAATTTCTGATCGGAGACGCGGATTTCAATTCCAGTTGGGTTCGTTATATTCACTTACGTGCAAATAAATTTGGAAAGGGCATGAATCCACCTCTTCTCCCCACCAGCTTAATTAGTAATATTACCATCATTGAACTATTATTATCTTAAAACATAAAATAAAATTACGTACGAAATACTTAGAATTCAGCAATAAACAACCCATTGAGTTTGATATGCCGCTAAACAAAACGAAACAACAAGCATTCCACCAGAAAAAAACACGTCATACAACATTGCATTCACAGCTAAAACATATCCTGCTACGAGTGTTTTTTATTACTACTACAAGCTTGTTCGCTTGAAGTATAAAGTTAACCGATATCTATCATACATATCCCGATAATATGCTTATCTTGCTCCTTCGGCTGTCTTCAAACACTTACAACTATGTAAGGCTAAAAGTATGGAACAGCAATGATGACTGACGTCAATAGTATATCGTAATGTTCAAAAAGATGAGGTCGATAACCTTCGCAAGGTCTAAGCGTGAACCTAATGTATAATGTCAATCGTATCTTCAGGATAAAATGTCCATAATTTCATATGCAATTTTTTTTTGTCCTGTTTCCTATATATTTCATGGTGCGTCGTGATGTGGCATCATGTTATTTCTGGGATCATTTGTTTTTGAACGATGCCGGGTTATTTATTTTACTGAGTCAACTCTGCTCAGAAAATATGAAAAAAACACATTAGAAAACTATTATGATAAAAAACATTATGGAAATATGAAAAAAAATGAACAATATGAAAATATCATGAAATAAAACATTATTGAATTATTATGAAATAAAACATTATTGAAATATTATTGAATAAAAAATTATGAAAATATTATGAAATAAATCATCATTGAAAAATTATGAAATAAAAAATTAATGAAATATTATGAAACAAAACATTACAGATACCGTAATTACCAAGGAAAACAGAATCGCTAAGTAGAAACCAAAATCTATCTCAATTTTACCGGTACACTTTTGCGGTGATGTCCATGGAAGAAATCAAGGCTTTAATCAGACTTGTGCAAAATCCGGTTCAGGGGTCAATTACAACCCGAGGTTTAATTTCATATGGCTCCCATGCCTTTGAACTGGACCTGGACTACATATTGCAGTCCAGATCTGAGTATCACTTTTCATATGATTAGAGGTAAGTTATTTGTTTTGGTCATCTGAGATTAATAAATTTTAAAATTTTAGTGAATTAAGTTTCTTTTGCGTTCGTAAAAATCAGTTATAAATATATTTGAACACATGGACTTCTGTCACATTATGTTTTCTACTTTTAATAGGATACACTTTTGTGTTATGTTCCTATTCATATTTCTTTCACTTAAAAGTTGACGGACAACATAAATTACTAATATGTAATATTTAAGGAGGAGGCACGGTGGAGTAATGAATAGTGTCTTGGTTTGAAGAATCAGAGAAACGAGTTCGAATTTTATACGAATCCATTACATTCACTTACGTGCTAATAGCCTTCGGAAAGATATGTATCCTCTTCTTCTGTGCAAATAGCAGAATAGACCGGGTTCTATAGCCTAGGGTGACAACTGGTCTACCTCAGAAAAAATGGCAACTTACTACGGGAAAAAATCTTCCTCGGCAGTCATGTATCAAAAAATACCTGATTGCCTAAGCGTGTATCACGCATGGCACATAACTGAATGTTTAAGATTAAACTGAAGTATGTTATACCTTACTGGATGTTTTTTTTTTCTTTTCTTAAGTCATATTTTCATCTTCGTCTTATAGTGGCTTCAGATGTGACAGGTTGAGTGATTTTGTTAAGATCTGTTTAAATTTATTTGTCATCTGTGTGAAAAAAAATGAAAAAGTTCCATTTACAACAAAATTTTCAAAGGTATTTATATTTAATTTTGATTGTTCGAAGAATGCAAATTTTAATGGTTCAAAGAATGCCAATTTTAATGGTTCAAATACTGCCAATTTTAATTGTTCAAAGAATACCAAAGAGAAAAGTTGGCCCTCACACATATTCACCTTATCAAATCTGGCCTTTTTTTGAAAAAAAGTTTGGACCACTGACCTAAATATGGGATGCATGTGACCTAGAAATTTTGATTGGTTTGATTCGTTTTAAGATATTTGAACAATTTGTGGTTTATTTAATTTGATGGATTTGCCTTTTTCGTCTTTTCAAACTTTTGTAGCTTACAGCCGTAATATATATTCTTAATTGTAAGAATATTTTTCTGCCAGTGAATATTTTATTCATTTTTGGTCATAATAATGACTTCCGATAAAATTCCTACGATTCAGCAAAAATAGATGACGAGTTGTATTCATACATTTCCCAAGTGAAATTGCACGTAAGAAAATATATCGAACTTGACTGAAATTCGAACTTGGCTCTCCGATTCATAATTCCGAGCCGTTACCCATATACGACCATCACATCTAACATTACTGCCCTTAGTGTTCCCAAGTATTCATCCATCAAGATAATAAACAGTCTCTACGTCGCTTACATTCGGTGATTGTACAAAGATATATGTGGTCGTAAAACCTATGTTATTTAAAGCGGATACATTTTGGATTTCAGAAGCTAGTATTCCTAAGATGTTCCCCATCTGAGTACTAACCAAGCTCGATGCTGCTTAACTTGTGCGACCCAACGATATCTATTCTAGCGTGGGTCTTGTATAAGGGGATTAAAACTCTGAATTCCAAAACTTGAATTGGAAACCTGGAAACCACATAACTTTCATTTACAAGAATGTGTAGCCTTTCCCAATTAAGAAAGAAACCGTGCCTGTGAGTATTATGATCACCTACGTCCTGAGGCGGATATCGCATTAAAAATAAACACCAGAATCTCTAATTAACGCATATCAAGTTTTCTAAAGCATTATGTGTTAGAAATTTAAATTAAGTAAATTCTAAAGAAGAATTTAAAATTGAAATGCAAGCGCAGTGACAGATTTTAATGTTGGTTTATAATTTTATTAGGATTAAAAGAGATGTCGGTTCATAAGAATTGTATCTGCACCAGTTGAATTAAAATTAATTTTTATTGATGTAGTCTACTGTCCATATCACTCTTTTAATTATATAAACAGTGGAATGAAATCTATTTTGGAATTGGTGTTCTTATGGTTTTGTAACAGTCACAATTAACTTATGTCTTTTTATTGTTCTTAAAATTAATACTATTTTCGTCTTGAACAATTGCGTATTACATTCAAATGTAATAGTTAGCATTTTGCTAAACGAATTATAAGTTTTCAGACCAAGTATGGCGTCAGCTGCCAACCGCGATAATTTTCAACCTTTATTAAATGAGAATAACTCTATTATGAGTGTTGTCGACTTATAAAACGTTGGGACCCAAGGTCGATAATCGATATAATTTACTTGTATTAATTTACATTCGATTTTGCTGTTTAAATCTAATCTAATTTTGCAAGCACGTGGTCTGAAAAAAATGTTTCCACTTTGGACATTACTGTTGTAGCTACTTCCTGATTAAGTGAGTGGTGGTTTTGATGTGAAAAAAAAAGAAAAGATTATTATAGAGGATCCAAAGTTTGTTGGGATATAAGGCAGGTTCAGTCAATTTAAAAAAAATTTTTTTATGCTTTTAGACATTTTGCGCCACCTTTTAGTCCAACGAACTGTTAGCATGAATAGCGGACGTTTCTAAGTGACAGTGCATCATATAAACTCATCAGTGACATTACTAGTTATACACTTCTAGTAAAAGACCGGAAATCACTTGCTTTTAGAATCACCTCAATTTTTCTTCATCTCTGTCTTACGGCCATAGCACGTTTAAACATCGGTTCCCGAGCGATGACCGACGTTAATGAACTCGATGGCTGACAGCATCGGAATACTAAATACTGTAAGTTTGGAAGTGCGGATTTTGTTATGATTAACGACTCAGATCGGATTTACAATTCTAGTCACGTTCGTTATATTCAGTTACACGCAAATAGTCACAGAAAACATGTATCGTTCTTATTTTATATAGTACACAATTAATTTTACAGTTATTGGTGTCCACTAAGTTTCACAGTAGAATTACCTAGTTAGTAAAAATGTTGGTCTGGAAATTTGCTGTTATAGTTGTTGTGAGTTCAATCCATGGTTCGGGCCAAATGTATTTAAACTCAGTTAAAACGATCGATCAATAACGGAGCAGTACTAAATAATATAATAACTAAACGATATCCCTAGACATCTGCAGTGGAACAAGAACAGTCCCCACCCGTAAATTTTCTTAAAAGGTTAAGTTAAGAATTCCGTAAAGGTTACACATTTTGATACGCCGCTGAATGTGGCCGGAATTCACAACGGTGTTGGAATGTCAGTTATAAACGCGAGGAAAATTGTTTGGATATAAATAATGTAAATAAAAAGTGGTTATACCAGATACAGCTGCGTTTCTATTAACTTGAACCTTGCTAGATATTCTTCAACCTTTTCCAAAGAAAAGGTAATTTCCACCAGCAGAATTGCCTTTAACTTTGATGTTTCCTTCTTTTTATAACCATTCTCTTCAGACCCTATTCATAATTGTACGGTAATATCTAAGTAGTTCAACAGTTCTTCATAAAAACACAGAACACCTTTTCTT